GGGTACATATAACAGAATTTACAGAAATTTAAAATTGGATTAGATTAATTTGGATTGACAAAAAAAGAGTGCATGCAAACATTATATATGGGGTGGTATACTCAGAGGTACATGTTTGTACCGTACATACCCCTAAAGGTATCATATATACTCCTCAATGTACTAATACTGTGTGTACTCTTAAAGTATTAAAGGGGTCATATGATGCTTTTTTAAAGATCATTATTTTGTGTATTTGGGGTAACAGAATATGTTGACATGCTTTAATGTTCAAAAAACACATTATTTTTCAAATACTGTACATTATTGTAGGTCCTCTATGCCCCACCTCTCTCAAACGCGTCGTTTTTTTACAAAGCCCCTCCTTCCGACAAGCACAGTCTGCTCTGATTGGCCAGCTGACCCAGTGCATTGTGATTGGCCGAACACCGCAAGCACTCATCGGAAATGTAACGCCCCTTACCATAATTGCGAGCTTCATCTTTCAAAATAAATGTAAAGACAGTAAATAATGTCATTAGTTTTACCATCAGTTCAAGCCCGAAAGGGGAACAGAGTCGCGTGACAGACACAGTGATGAAGCTGGTATGTATGCAGTACACAAGCCACGGTTAAGACAGCTGACTCCACTGTGATGTGACCCTGTCTCTCTACTTTCAGAAGGCCAGATAAAGTGCTTTTGCTTTCGCCTATAAACACACAGCGTCTCCCTGACATGCTGCTTCAACACTAACTGCGGTTACTGAAACCACGCCTTCTTTCTTTGCGTGAACATTTGGGTGTCATTATGCAAATATTTCCACATAGTGAGGTAGATATGTGGGGGCGTGTTAGAATGAGCCGTTTAGGGGGGCGTGACAGAGTCTTAACTTTGATAAAGAATATCTCTTTGGTTTTGAGACTTTAGTCTTTGCAACTTCAGGGATCTTATCTATGCACAGTCAGCTTGTATCACTCCAAAGAGAAAGGAAAACTTGAAATCGCATCATATGACCCCTTTAATATGCACATTGCACACTGTAAAAATGTACCTTTGAGGGTTTGGCTACACTGATTCCTAAATGCACTTTTTTCTTGTTTGTCAAAAAATCCCTTGGATACTTTTAGATGGTCAGCTGGTCAAACTTAGATTTGGCGACTCTGGTTATTTAATTAATATTAATGTGAATGTACCTTCATTCCTCATTTGGATTTCTTCAATTTATGGATCCTACACTACCTCTGCTTTAAAGACTTTATAGGTTTGTCTTCTGAAACAGATGCACCTCATCACGTCTGATGTGTGTCAGCTGCATGCTTGCAGATGTGTAATAGAGATTGAGGACTGACTTTCTGAACGACAGACTTGAGTAATAGGTTAAAAAAGAGCAGAGGGAATATGGAAGCATGTGCTTACTGAAAGAAACTCCCTCCCACCTCAGCTCAGGCTGCCAGATGTGTAGTGTGTTGACTGAGAGGACAGATGATTGGTAGCAGATGCATCCACTCATTATCTCTCACCCTCTCAAGCCACTATAGAGCTGCACTATTCCCATAACCTACTAAAAGAGGACATTAGGAGAAAATATAATTTATAGAATGTGGCAGAAATTATGCTAGTTTGAATTGGCAGAGAAAAAATAGAGCAGAGGGATTGCTGGCAATTAGACATGTATTCAGAACCCTTTGTTTTGTGCACTGGTTTGGGTGGTTTATGAAGACACAAATTTGTATAATGACATGGGTATGACACAGGTATTACAATATGAAGGTGGTTTATGAGGACACTACCTGTGTCCTCTTAATTCAAAAGGCTTTAAAAACATACTAAAAAGATTTTTTTATTTTTTTTTGAAAATCTAAAAATGCACAAAGTTTCCTGAGGGGTAGGTTTAGGTGTAGGGTTGGTGTAGGGCGATAGAAAATACAGTTTGTACAGTATAAAAACCATTACGCCTATGGAAAGTCCCCAGAAACCACCAATACCAACGTGTGCGTGTGCATGTTTATGTGGTTTATGAGGACACACATTTGTATAATAATATGGGTATGACATAGGTATTACAACGAGAAGGTGATTTATGAGGATATTTTCAGTGTCCCCGTAATTCAAAGGGCTTATAAATAATTCAGAAGGAGTTTTTTTTTTTAATCTAAAAATGCAGAAAGTTTCCTGTAAGGGGTAGGTTTAGGTGTAGGGTTGGTGTAGGGCAATAGAAAATACGGTTTGTACAGTAAAAAAACCATTACGCCTATGGAGAGTCCCCATAAACCATAAAACAAACCTGTGTGTTTGTGTTTGTAATACAATGGTCTATGTACATATAAATTATATTAATAATAATAATTTTATTGGGGTTGCTCTCCTATATTCTGACTGATACTTGTTACAAGATAAGTATTTTTACATATGTGATCCTGGAGCACAAAACCAGTCTTAAGTCGCTGGGGTATATTTGTAGCAATAGCCAAAAATACATATGGGTCAAAATTATTGATTTTTCTTTTATGCCAAAAATCATTAGGATATTAAGTAAAGATCATGTTCCATGAAGATATTTAGTAAATTCCCTACTGTAAATATATTAAAACTTAATTTTTGATTAGTAATATGCATTGCTAGGAACGTAATTTGGACAACTTTAAAGGCGATTTTCTCAATGTTTAGATATTTTTGCACCCTCGGATTCCAGATTTTCAAATAGGTGTATCTCGGCCAAATATTGACCTATGCTAACAAACCATACATCAATGGAAAGCTTATTTATCCTTCATGTGATGTTTAAATATCAATTTCGAAAAATTGACCCTTATGACTAGTTTTGTGGTCCATGGTCACATATTGTCAGGCACCCACAGAGGCTGATATTATTGTGCTATATTTAAGAAAAAACTAAAATACCTAAAACCATAATCTAGAATTTGACATGCTACAAATGAAACTAGACTGCAGAGCTGAATGTAGAGTTTAAATACAACTTAAAAGCTCATAAATATTAATTGATTCCCTGATGTCACATTTGCCTAGTTGTCCATAAAAGTAGCTAGTAGTTAATATCAATAGTGATTTAATCAATTGGGTGTGATTTGATCTAATCTTAATCTAAATTAGATCTACAGTATATATTAGTAATTCTTAACAATATAAGTGATTTAAAGGGTTAGTTCACCCAAAAATGAAAATTCTGTCATTAATTACTCACCCTTGTGTTGTTCCAAACCCGTAAGACCTTCGTTCATCTTCGGAACACAATTTAAGATATTTTTGATGAAATCTGAGGGCTCTCTGACCCTCCCATAGACAGCAAGGTAACTACCACGTTCAAGGTCCAGAAAAGTACCAAGATGATCGACAAAGTAGTCCGTGTGACATCAGTGGTTCAACTGTAAAGTTACGAAGCTACGATAATACTTTTTTTGCACAAAGAAAACAAAAATAATGACTTAATTCCACATTTTCGTCTCTACTGCATCACTTGTGGACACACGTTCACGACAGTATCATAACGGCAGCGCCGACGCAGCCACACGCTCGCGTTATTTAGCATATAAGTCGTTATTTTTGCTTTCTTTGCGCAAAAAAGTATTCTCGTAGCTTCGTAACTTTACAGTTGAACCACTGATGTCACACAGACTACTTTGTCGATCATCTTGGTACTTTTCTGGACCTTGAACGTAGTAGTTACCTTGCTGTCTATGGGACGGACAGAGAGCCTTCAGATTTCATCAAAAATATCTTAAATTGTGTTCCGAAGATGAACGGGTCTTATGGGTTTGGAACAACACAACGGTGAGTAATTAATGACAGAATTTTCATTTTTGGGTGAACTAACCCTTTAAGTCTATGTTAAATTATATATAAAATTAGTCATATCAATATGAATTATGTTTTACTAATATTAACTAATATTGAACTAATATTTCATATTTTTGAAAGTCTGCTAATTCTCAAGGCTGCATTCATATATATGACCACAATTACCACAATTGAAAATAACTGCTTTCTACTTTAAAATACTTTAAAAGCTGAATGTTCACCAATTACTCTAGTCTTCACTGTCACGATACTTCAGAAATCATTTTAAAATAATCATTCAGATTTGGTGCTCAACAAATCAATGTAAAAAACAGTTTTGCTGCTTACTATTTTTGTGGAAACAGTCACACCGTTTCAGGATTCTTTGATAAGTAGAAAGTTCACAAGAAATACAGAGTTCTGACATGAAACTCTAGATGGCGTAGTCCGATAGGTCTAGCTCAATCTGACCTAGTGACATCATTGTCACATGGAAGCTGATTGGTTTTCTCCTGTATCTGAGCCAATCGCTGCTCAATATTCAAATACCTGTTTTTTGTTTGCTGTAGCAGTTGGCAGCGCACTTCAGAAACCCTCCACCTTCCCCAGCTCCACCTGTATAGATCTGCTATGGTGTGATTCATATATGCTATATGGGGGTTATTCATATGTGTTATATGTGCAGCAGCAGTATTTATTACATGCTTACAGCAGCATGTTGTGGATGTATTGGCAGTAGCAAGTCTCGGTACTTGCTCTGCCGCAGCAGCAGCAGCATAGCAGATCTATTCCGCTAAGACCAAATACATTAACATTGTAATGTACATTACCATGCCAATCCCTCTGAGAGTTGTCATGACAGAACAACATTTATTTATAGTTATAGTTTTTAGTTTCAAGTTTATTTGTCATGTGCGCAAAAAGCCAGTGACAAATTGTACATTGAAATGGCATGGGTATTCAACAGCAGTACAATGCAGGAAAAATAGATAACTTTTACGACATCATAAACATCTTTACTCTTATTTTGATCAATTTAATGCATCCTTGCCTAATAAAGTATTTTATAATAAATAAAGTAATATCTTTCAAATAAAAAAATCTGACCTCAAACTACAGCTGTAGTATATACTGTATCTGTGTGTGTTCATTCATAATTCACCTCCTACCAGTTAATCCTCAGCTCCTCTGTGTCTATAAGCCTTTTTCTGTTTGTCTCACACAGGTGTGCCATTGATTGATGGGGGTACGGTGAGATTGCCACAGCTGATTGGTCTCTCGCGAGCACTAGATCTGATCCTCACAGGCCGACCGGTGAAGGCGCAAGAGGCTTTAACATTTGGACTGGCAAACAGAGTGGTGCCTGATGGCCAAGGTACACATACAGTACGCTCTGAAACTTGCTTTAGCATGATGAAGCAGTTGATCATAAACCACTTGAAATATATTTTATCTATGTTGAAATAATATCATTGATAGTTAATTAGAAAAATGTGTTAGTGGGTGTTCTTGTCACATGACTAATCATAATGTGGACAGTTTTAATATGCAAAAGCAGAGAATGAGAAATTCATTTTAATTTAGGTCTGTTTCTCAAACAAACCTGTTGTTTTGCTTCAGAAGCTTTGGAATATACAGGTAGATAATCGCTGTATGTATTGTTACAATTTTTATATTATTACAAACTTTAGAGTGTGCTTGTGGTATTCTGCTATTCTATATTTTTACACTTTATGAAAAAGAACAGTGTGAAGTTGAACATTCTGCAGTATATCTAGCCTATTTTGTGATCTATACACAAGAAAGTCGTACAGGTTTGCAACGATGTGATTCCCTCTAACTCTGTCTACCTTTTCTACAACATGCCAGTGCATCTTTTGATGCTGTACTGTATACTGTATGTACAGCGAGGTTAGATGAGATGAGCTCAAAGCTGTTTAGAAGTACTGTTAAAGTAAGCGCTTCAGTTTCAAAGTCACTCGAGTGGACTAGAGCTGGAGGCCAGAGCTTTCATGTGCTACACAGAAGGACAAAATGAGTTCATATCAGAAGGAAATGAGTGATGATATGGAGGTCACACATTATGGTCAGCTGAAAAAAAAAATTGTTTAGGAGTGTCACATCTTCTCAGTGTATCTTCACATCTAACTGTCAGTCTGTGTGTATTTGTCTTAGCACTTCAAGTGGCTCTTGAACTTGCTGAACAGGTCAGCGCATTTCCACAGCTCTGTCTCCGTGCTGACCGTAACTCCGCCTACCACGCTGTCTTTGACTCCTCCTCCTTCACCCAGTCCATGCAGTATGAGTTTGACCATGGCCTGCCAGTCATTGTTGCTGAAGCAGTCACTGGAGCAACAAAATTCACCTTAGGTGCTGGGAGAGGTGGGACGTTCTCTAAGAGTAAACTGTAAATGGGCAGATGAACGGACGTGAGACAGTGTGTAACTAAATAATGCTGTATTCTGTAATTGTTATGAAACCAGTATGCTGTGACAATTTAAATATGAACTTGGCCATTTTAAAACTTGTATATCATGAAGAGATGTGCACTTGCCTCAGATCAAGTTCTCATTAGCATTTTTTTTTTTTGCTAATCAAATATATTAAAGATCATACTGAAGATTTCTTTTTTCAGGGGATTTGTCATGCAGGTTTGTAAATGCAGAACATGAGGGGTTTATTTTGCAGATGCTGTTATGTACTGCACACTTTCACTGATCAGCCACAACATTAAAACCACCCGCCCAATATTGTATAGGTACCCCTCGTGCTGCCAAAACAGCTTTGATGCAGAAAGGCATGGACTCCACAAGACCTCTGAACGTGTCCTGTAGTATCTGGCAACTAGATATTAGCAGCAGATCATTTAGGTTTGCAACTTGCAAGGTGTGGCCTGGCCTCCATGGATCGGATTTGTTGGTCCAACACATCCCACAGATGCTCAATCAGATTAGGCCACGGCAACACCTTGAAATCTTTGTCATGTTCCTCAAACCATTCCTGAACAATTTTTGCTGTGTGTCATGGAGCATTATCCTGCTGAATGAGGCCACTGCCATCAGGGAACACTATTGCCATGAAGGGGTGTATGTGGTCTGCAGAGCTGTAAAGAGTACCTAAAAACCATACTTGAGTAAAAGTACAGATACCTTACAGTGAAAACTACTCCATGGTTTATTTTGCAGATGCTGTTATGTACTGCACACTTTCACTGATCAGCCACAACATTAAAACCACCCGCCCAATATTGTATAGGTACCCCTCGTGCTGCCAAAACAGCTTTGATGCAGAAAGGCATGGACTCCACAAGACCTCTGAACCTTTTGCAGTGTGTCATGGAGCATTATCCTGCTGAATGAGGCCACTGCCATCAGGGAACACTATTGCCATGAAGGGGTGTATGTGGTCTGCAGAGGTGTAAAGAGTACCTAAAAACCATACTTGAGTAAAAGTACAGATACCTTACAGTGAAAACTACTCCACTACACGTTACAAGTCACCAATTCCAAAAGGAGCCAAGGATCTATGTGCAGGTATTTAATGGAAAAATTAGAACAAACAATAAGCCAAAAACCAAAGGGAACAAAGAACAGAATGACTGACAAACAGACAACCATTACATTCGACAACTCACAAGGAACTAAAGAAAAACTAGGGCTATATATATACACAGGGGGCTAACAAGCTTAACAAAATAACAAGACACACCTGGGGAGACTAATCAAGGGGAACCAATGAACAAACAGACTACAAACTGACTACTAACACCAAGGGAGACAGGAAGTGACATAAAAGTCCAGGGCAAGGCACAGAGAGTATGAAACAAAAACAAGATGGAGAGCAATCAAAATATATTTTCTAAAACCCAAATAAAACTGAAGACCTCAAAATGACATAAAAACAATATCCTTCAAAAAGGTCTCTTCAGTGTAATGGATAAATAAAATAATGTAATAAAGTAAAATTAAAAAGCCGAAGCCTTCTTGCAGTGGATGTGCTGGTTTGGGCCTCATTGCCGGCTGCAGTCTTGTCCTCATCTCATATATAAAGCACCTCTGATTCACAAATACTTGCTAGGGAACTCGCATTCACATAAAGTAGCCTTGTTGAAAAGTTTGGGTGAGTAAGGGCAAAACGCACAAGATGCAGTATGTTCAGTGACCTTTAATAGGCAGTATAACGTCTTTTGTAGCAGAAATAAACTGCTGCAGAAAAAGCTAGGTCCATGCAAAATGTAATGTGTAACTGCAACACTCGTTTCAAATGTAGAGTAAAGAGTACAGATACTCATTCAAAAATGTAGTGAAGTAGAGAGTAAAAGTTACTAATATCTTTACACATACTCCTGGCCATCCATCTGATCTGAAACGTGATTCATCAAACCATGCAACCTTCTTCCAGTGCTCCATGGTCCAGTTCTGTCGCTCACTTGCCCATTGTAGGTACTTTCGGCAGTGGACAGGGGTCATCATGGGCACTCTGACCAGTCTATGGCTATGCAGTCCCATAAGCAGTAAATTATTATGCACTGTGTGTTCTGACTGCTTTTGTATTATGGCCAGCAATAGGTTTTTCAGGAATTTGAGGTACAGTGGCTCTTCTGTGTGAACGGACCAGACAGGCTTGCCTTCACTCCCCATGTGCATCAGTGAGCCTTGGGCACCCATGACCCTGACACTGGTTCACCAGTTGTCCTTCCTTGCACTACTTTTGATAGGTAATAGTAACAACTGCATACCAGGAACACCCCAAAAGACTTGCCGGTTTGATAATACTCTGACCCAGTCGTCTAGCTATCATTTTTTGGCCCAAGTCACTCAGATAATTTTGCTTACCCATTTTTCCTGCTTCCAACTCATAAAATTCAAGAACTGACTGTTCACATGTGGCCTAATGTATAATCACACCCATTGATAGGTGCCACTGTAACAATATAATCAATGTTTATTTACTTAACCTGTCAGTGGTTTTAATGTTGTGGCTGATCAGTGTACTACAGTCTCAGTCCTCCAGGAGCAACCTGGAGTTCAGTGTCTTGATCAAGGGCATAATGGAAATGATCCTTACAGTGCTCAAACCTGCAAACTTGATTACCAACTCTCAAACGTGTGTTCTTAAAATCTTTGTATTTGCAGGAATAGAGGGGTCAAGCAAACATTGAAAAATAAAAACATGCATTGTCTTCATATCCTTCCTATATATATATAGAAAAGAACAAATATGTGTGAGTGCATGTGTCTTTAAAGTGAGGCTTTGTCTAGACAGTATGATGACAGGAAAGTTAGTCTGTTAACCGACCCCACACAGACTCACGCACAGGTCATTCATCACGCTACTGACAGCCGATTAGCAACTGACCCTTGAAGAATAGATGAGTTCAAACATGAATGCTGCACTTTTGCATTCCTTAATGCTGCACTTTCCTCTCATCCTTTCTGTGATCGTACCCCCTGAAATGAATGTGCCACTTTTTGATCATTTCAAGTCAACTTGTTACAGCCATTTATTTTAAAGTGAACATGAAAACAAACAACTACCACAGCATCTTGCTGTTGCAGATGGTGCAATGGAATGTATGAAATGGCGTGCTGTACGCACATTTTGTCTTATGGCGGTGTGCAAATGTGTGTTTAACACTTTCAGCTATCATTTGAAATGCATTTGCAGAGGAATGCTCAGCTTTTATCTTGTCACTGTCTGTTTCCTTTCACTGTCTGAGATTATTTCTGTCTTAAAGGACTAGTTGACTCAAGAATGAAAATTATGTTATTATTAATTTTATGTTCCTCCAAACCTCTATGGTTTTTTTTTTTATTCTTAAAAAAATATCCAGTGCTTTTCCACAAAAGGGCAGTTCATGGTGATGCAATATGTAAGGGAATAATACAGGTTATTTTCAAACATTAAAAGTTAAAACAACAACATTTGTGGCGTTATGTTGATTATCACACACACACACACACACACAAGGGTTATGTTGAGGCACTTACAAGCATATGGAACCATTTTTTGGAAGAAGTAATAGCAATGTAAAACATTTAATATAAGTTGTTCTTGTCATTTTTACACTCATATGAGTTTACACATTCTTGTGGCAATGAAGTTTTAAAAGTTTATATCAATTTATACAGAGAAGCTATTTTTCACACTGTCACACTAACAAGCATATTTTTTTACATATTATGCCTATATATTATTGAAACAGTAAGTATTTTAACTTTTTTTTTTTTTTTTAAGAAGAATAAAAATGATAATTGAACAATTTATATTGAATCCAGAAATTGTATTCATTTCAACATTTTGTTTATATAGTATAACTATATCTGTTGTATCTTATTATTTCAAAAGATTTTGAATATAGTGCACAAATCACATTAACTACTTTTATGGTGATAAAAGATAGAAATTGAAGTCTATCCAGCTTCTGAAAAATTATATTATTTGTTCAATTTAAATTTTGCAAAAGTGTGTGTACCTGGTATCCCCCCGCTATGAGGACCAACTGTTCCCGTGAAGATGGTGACCTAATTTCTGACCTTGTGGGGACATTTTTTGGTCCCCATTAGGAAAACGGCTTATAAATCATACAGAATTCTAAAAATACTGGAGAAAAACAGCTGGTCAAGATTTAACAATACAGTCAGGTTCAGTATACAGGTTGAGTGACTTGTCAAACATCCACATTTTCCAGAAAAAAATATATTTCCATTTACAATATATCTTTTTTAGTTTTCTTCAGTCTCATGCGGTTATTTTCTGTGTCGTTAGGGGTCACGCTTCGGCCATAAAACGACTCGATTACATAGCGTAAGTTCATTTACGATTTTGTGGTGAAATTTATAGAAAGAAGAAGAGCTGTAATCACTTGGATAATTACCTACAATTCTCATTTGATTTATGGTATTCTCTCACAGGCGAATTTCGGTTTATTGGCATGCATGCGTCTTCAAGCAACACAACTAGAACGCTTTTGTTAGTCTAGAATGAATCAAACTGTCTACATTCTAATCAATGCATGAAGCTACGATACGGACAGTAAAGTGTCCTACACATAGTTCGCGTTGTAAGTGTGATGCGTTCGGTAGTTGCGTCCTGTAGCTGATTTTAAGACGACATTAAAATAAAAGTAAAATTTGAACGCCTCCGCGACAAAACTAGAACGCTTTCGTTTTAATAGACGAACATGAAGCGCAACTGCAGCACTTACAATGAATGAAGTTGTATACTGTATGACATTATCATCGACGCGCTATTTTAAGTTGAATACGACCGCGTCGCGTCGCTCGTACGCAAACTGTAGACACCTGACATGAAAGCTGAAATTGTCATCTACATTTATGAAAGAAGACACGTCTAGACGTGTACGTAAAGACGGGTTTGAGGATGTTAAATCTGTCTTGTAAAGCTCCACCTCTGGACGCAAGCACTGGGGCGGGCTCGAGACGCACCTGCTTCAGCCCCGTTATTTAAAAGCCTCTGAGACAGACGCGCTGTCCACTCTACAACACACTCTGTAGGAATCAGAGACTGATGTCAAATCAAAGAACCGAACGGAGAAGATATATAGATCGTAAGGAAATAATTGTTTGGAAACGTGACGGATATATATATATATATATATTGTGTTCTTTATTTATAGTTGTGATACCTACACTAAACTTAACAGTTACTTTTGATGGGACACAGGGACGTTTCAATCTGTCTTCTGCCTGGAACGAAGCATCACGCCGAAGAATTGATGGAGATTTTGCGCATTGGAAAAACAACCTGAACGACAACTGCATTCGTTTGGCACAGGATAATAGTGTTTTGCAGAGGCAGTTACAACCCAACGGGTTTTTACAACCTGATGCCATAGAATAACCTTTTCAATAGCTTGTTTTATTCTGTAGTTCTTCAGAAAACCATCTATGCACTAGTGCTTTAAAAGAACCCAGAAACCAGCACAGATTTGAAGATTCTATAATGCAATCATGAACCTTTCAGGGAACCGTGCAGTCAAAATGGTCCTTAATAAGAAGAGGGTTCTTCGCTGAACCTAAGAACCACTAAGTTGTAAGATCCTATGGCGTGAAGCAGAAGAGTAGAGGGGAAAACACTGGCTTCCAAGTGGTTTTATATTTAGAAGTGAATACACCCTCATCATCATCATCATCATCACAGA